AATTCTCTTTCACTAAGAAGGGAGAAAACTTTATAAAAACAATAAAATCCAAATAGAAACAAAGTTTATCTCTTGAGCAAAACTGAGACAAAAGACGTTTAATTACGCTGATTCCCAAAGAACAAATATGGCCGACATATCAAACACTTTTTGTAAACAGTTGTTTTCAACACCTTCCTACTTTGTGTTTTAGTATCTATTCCGCTAAATGAGTGTATTTGCAATTTTGCTGTTTCAAATAAGAGATATTTTAAGCGGTGTAATAATGTGTACTTGGCGACAAAGATGAGGACAATAGTCCGAATAATGTAAATAGTGTGAATCTAATGAACCCAACTGGAATTCGAACTCAGTCATCTGATTAACAATTCCGGACCATTATCTATTACACCACCCGCACATCCAAACTTACAATATCAGCGATCATTCATCTAGGTACAGACCAGGCTTAACGTTGCTTAACTTTAATTATCGTACGGGAACCGGTGTTTTTATCATGATGTGACTGTAAACCTTTGTCTCTTTCTGTTTCATTATCCATTCTGCGAATTGGTTGCATTTGCAATTTTGATTCTTCCACTAAGAGATTTTTAAGCCAAGTAAAATTTTCTGAACGCGTGTACTTGTACCCCACTCTTTGCTTTTAATTTCCGTTAAAATTCTCGTATTATGCGCACAAATACGGTATACTTAAAATCAGAAAGACACAGGTATGGAACACATAATAAGGGAAGTGTAAGAAAATAAACTATTAGAGTAGAAATGGCGGTTATACATCTTGCCTGTTCAACAGTAAGTCGGTGTCATACGCGGTAATACATTTTAAGGTGTTAATTAATCTAATTTAATATATTTCTTTATATTAATAAACTATGAAAAAACTGTCTTTCATTAAGAATAGAGAGGAAAAAAACTTTATTAAAAAAAGAATCAAAATAGAAACAAAGTTTATCTCTTGAGCAAAACTGAGACAAAAAACATAATTACGCTGATTCCCAAAGAACAAATATGGCCGACATATCAAACACTTTTTGTGAATAGTTGCTTTCAACACCTCCCTACTTTGTGTTTTATTATCTATTCCGCTAAATGAGTGTATTTGCAATTTTGCTGTTTCAAATGAGAGATATTTTAAGCGGAGTAAAAATTTCTAAAAACGTGTACTTGTGCATAACACGACTCTAGTTTTGCTTCTAATTTTTGCTCAAATATTCTCGTATTGTCCACAAAAATACGGTATACTGAAAATCAGAAAAAAACACAGTTAGGTTTGGGAGACATAAGGAAAGAAAATATAACACTGACAGGACATAGTTAAGGCAAGACGGTTTAGTGGAAAATAATTTATCAGGCGAAAATGGATGGGTGAAAAAGGAATGGGTGGAATAGTAAGAAGACAAATATTGCTAAGAGTTACAAAGGATAGGAAATAGTGGAGAGCCATGATCTCCCACGTCCTGAGGGGACAGAGCAAACAGAAGAAGATAGGTGTTCAGAATTCACTGATTGAAGAGTTGAATCAGGTATGGTTTGGTTTGTTTGACGGCATATCAACCTGAATGGGTTATTTAATGTCGTCAAAGATTTAAAAGAGGCCATGATGTTGGAAATAGTTTATCGTTTTACCCAGGACGTGGATAGAGCTTATTGTCATACCCAGGTCGGATTGAATCAGGAGAAATATGCGTAATATTTTATATTTTGTATTCATATTATATTATATTATATATTATATAATATATAATATATTATACTATTTATATTATATAATATATTATATATATTATATTATATATTATATAATATATAATATATAATATATACTATTATATTATATATTATATATATAATATATATATATTATATTATATATAATATAATATATAATATATTATATATTATATTATATATTATATTATATACTATATAATATATTATATTATATTATATATACTATATTATATTATATATTATATTATATATTATATACTATATAATATATTATATTATATATTATATTATATAATACATAATATATTATATTATATATTATATTATATTATACGATATATATATATTATACTATATAATATACAATATATTATATTATACATTATATTATATTATACATTATATTATATAAATATATAATATATTAGATTATATATTATATATAATATATTATATTATACATCATATTATATATCATATATTATATTATATAATATATAATATATAATATTTTATATTATATATTATATTATTTATTATATAATATATAATATAATATATTAGATTATATTATATATTATATTATATAGTATATATTATATTATATATATTATATTATAATACTTTACATTTTTATATCTGTGTCATTTTTTCCGCGTCTTTTAATAAATCTTGTAAACATGTGCCAAAACAGGCGAAGATTTTAATAACAACTTTGCTGAAGACAATCTGAATTCTTTTTATTTTGAAATGAATTCATCTTTTGAAAAGTTAGTCTTTCTCTTGAAATATTATTGTTTTTTTTTGTTTTGTTTTTTTTTTTTGTTTTTACGTCGTCCTCAGCTTTTTATAGATAGACAAATAAATAATATCATGGAACATCTGCCTGTTCCGCAAGAATGAAGTCTTTCGTCAAAAAAAAAATAAAAAATAAAAAAAAATTGTTATTAATATTTGGATGTGTTTATAGCGTCAGCGATTGATTGTCAACACCATCGTTCGTTTAACGGCATTTCAGTCCTCCTCCGCTAAACACAGATCTCATTGAAGATTTCTAAAATGTTCTTTTGTTTTCCCCAGAAAAATTACCTCCTGCGAGTCCGACCAAACTCATTCACGAAGAAAAAAGGGAATAAACCCCCCGGGAAATATTTAGCCAAGAATGACGTTGGGAACTATATATATATATATATATATATATATATATATATATATATATATATATAAACGCTAGCATAATGCCTGCAAATATGATAAAATCATTTAAAAGTGGGTCGATATTTCTGACTAACATTAATGTATTTTGACATTTCTGCCTAGGATCAGTGTAATACCTGTGCGCTCTGTGAAACTATTGTACACATCTGGTGCTTTCTGCCACGTTTTATCTTCGTCACAGACTGTTTAGATCAAAATGAAACGTTGCTGTAAGACCGAAGATACGTTGGAATAACAGTAATTTTATATTATCTATAAATGTTTGTCTTATGTTAACAGTTATATTTAGACTCCTTGTGACGGGAAGATCAATATGTGCACGGATTGCACTGAGTTGCGACAAATGGCAAGTAGGTATAAGGGCGATGCAGTCTGTTAAGGACATGAAAATTTGTGAGGTTGCAAGTTATTGCTAATAATTACGTTAGAATGGTTTCTGCTTTTTATATTAAGCGATAAATTTAATATATAATGAATAATATTTTTTTCTGGAATACATCTCCTTCGTTTATTTTATTTGTCCTTCATTCCCATCATCATCATCATCATCATCATCATCATCGACAATATCAAAAAGACTCACTAATTTTGTTTATTTTTTCTTCATTTTTGTGCGTTATGGTGTAATGGATATCGGCTCCGAATGGGAAATCGGAGAGCGAGGTTCGAATTACAGTCGGTTTCGTTTCTTTCACTTATGCGTAAATACCCCTAGGAAAAGTATGAATCCATGTCGTCTCCTCCAAACTATGGGTTAAATAGCGGAGACGTCTGGGTCTTATAGTTTTGGTTAGTAATCAGTCAACTGCAGAATATAATGGCAACCTACTGCGGGAAAATCTGCCTAGTCGGGCATGAATCGAAAGTGACATATTTCCCAAACGTGTGTCACATATGGCACTTAACCCACTGATCTGAAATTCTTACAATAATAATAATAACAACCATTAACATTTTTCTTTTATTCGTTGTACATTCCTGACATCATCATCAGCAGCAGCAACAACAGCATTAACAATGTTATCTCTTCGTTTTCTTCAATTTGCCACTCGCTGCCCATTCTTATCATCATCATCATCATCATCATTATCATATTCATTTCTACTCTGAAATCAGTAACGATCTTGGCATTTCGATCACGGCTTGGGTTGCTTGGTTGTTTTTCCAACATCTCTAAACTTGGTGGGATATTTAATGAGGAAGTTTTGCATAGAGTCCCCAGTGAGGACCGAAGGTACTACTCGGTAGTAATGGCTGACAACATTAGCCTCATCTCTTTTTCATTCATTTCTGTTATCATCATCATCATCTACAATAGTAGTAGCCTTACCATAATCATTCATCATCATCACCCTAAATAGTAACATAATCCATCTTTCCATTATATTTGCTTTCTTTCATTCATGGAAACGACCTTAGCAATTAGATCACTTCTTGGGAGCAAAGGTTGCCTGGTTGATTTTTAACGTAATAATTACTTCTATCATTTTTCTTTCATTCCTCATTCCTCAAGATCATAAGCATTAAAATGATCATACTATTTTAATCTGAAAGTGGAAACGACCCAAGCAATTAGATCACTCCTCGGCAGCAAAAGTTTTCCTGGTTGATTTCATGACTTGCCAAATCTTGCTGGTTTATTTAAATTGGAAGGTTTGCATGTGGCACCCAGTGAGAATCGAACTCACTACTCGCTCAACCCGACAAACCGCGTTTCTTCATATTTTTTTTTTCATTCATTGTTTTTCATTCCTTTGACTCTCGTGATCTTTCTATTTCTTTTATTTCATTTTCATTCACTCCTCCTCCTCCCACTCCTCCTCCTCCCACTCCTACTTCTCATCCCACTCTTCCTCCTCCTCCTCCTCCTCCCACTTCTCCTCCTCCTCCCACTCCTCCCTTTTTTTTTCTATTATTCTTTTCTTTTGCTTCTTTTCATTCACTTCTTTTCATTATAATGTTCATTGTCGTCGTAATGGCTGACATCATCATTCCTTCTCTTATTTATCGTTTCTGATTTTCCATACATTTTCAGCTGGTATTTGCGTCAGTCCTTCATTTTTCCTACCCCCCCTCCACCACACCAAAGCCTCCCCCCCGCCATTTTCTTTCCTAAAGATCCTAACACCATCGTTCTATTCAAGTCTTCCTTGGCAGCTTGCGTACTATAAGTCGCTTTTGTGATCACAGAACTCTCAGACACCTGCCCCACACCACGAAGAAAAATGACATGTTTTTTGACGTTTCTTTTATCCAAAGACTTCCGTTTTCAGCTCCCCGGATACGGCAATTTTCCAGCCAACTGACAAACTTCAGTTTGAACTCAGCTCTCTACACCAATGCCCCACACCCTTCTCCGTTTCAAATAATCAACTCCATTCGGGTCCCTCTTTTATTATCTGGTTTCACATTCCAGTTTTCCACCATTTCCTTCTCTCGGTTCCGATTCCTGAAAGTTACATTTTATTCTTTCTACTGCTAAAGACATTGTTGTTGGAAGTCTTTTTGAAATCTAATTTAGTCTTTGTTTTTACAACTTCAAACTGGTTCTATTTACAATAATATCAGACATTTCTTTTATATTTTCCCCCATTAAATATTCTAAAATATTTTAGCCTTTTGTCAATAATACGTGAATATAAATTCAGAAAAAATATAAAATTTCTTTCTTTTTTCTTGTTTGTTTGTTTGTTTGTTTCTTTCTTTCTTTCTTTCTTTCTTTCTTTCTTTCTTTCTTTCTCAGTCTATTCATCTATCTCTCAGTCTGTCTATCTGTCTCTCTTTCTCTCTCTCTCTCTCTCTCTCTCTCTCTCTATATATATATATATATATATATATATATATATATATCCTTCGGTTCATTATCTATCTATCTATCTATTATCTATCTATCTATAGATAGATAGATAGATAATGAACAGATATTTTCACATATTAATCCACTCTTTGCCTGATGAAGGTCGCAAGACCGGAAACCGGTGTAGCAAAATTATGGAAAATAAAGCATAATATATATATTTTAAAATCCACATTACAACCCAAAATGTTTGCGGTTTTCTTTCTTTATATATATATATATATATATATATATATATATATATATATAGAGAGAGAGAGAGAGAGAGAGAGATTCTGCCAAAAAATGTAAAATGTATACACACTTCAGGAAAGGAAAAAACTTGTCTTGCATCGTTTTATCAGTTTGCGGTAACACTTTTTACTGAAGTACGATATCTTCGAGACAGATGTCATTACCCCCATGGTAATGCGAGCTTATCTGAATGAGAATTTGCAAAGGACACTGCCTAGGACGAGTTTCCCAACACGTTCTCCTGATTTAACCCCTCTAGATATTTACCAATGGGAGACCCTAAATGATGTTGTGTATCACAGAAAACATAAACAACAATCCCTCTTGATACTTTGCCCAACGTTGCCCAAGCAGTAGTTCTAATAAATGTCTGGAAGTTAAAGGTCACCATTTTGAGCATTTGCCGTGATTGTCGAGTCCAAAGATAACTTGTATTAATCTCATGATATCTGAATAAATTTAGCATTACAATAACTATAGTCTTATCCTTTCCTCAAGTGTGTATACATTTTTAGTGGACTCTGTATGTACGGTATACCATAATAATTTTTATAATCCAAATAGCTCATTAAAATATATATTATCAAGTATAATTATTACATAGCTGATATA